GGTAAAGAAATCAGTAAATTTTTATCTCAGTTTTTATATTTTTTATCTTTAGAAGTTGCATTTGGTCTTTTTAATATTGTCTATTTCTCTCTTCATTATGTCATGTTTTGCTTTAAGTCCTTTAGCATTTTATAGTAACTCTTTTAACATTCTTGTCTGCCAATTGTATTATCTCTTTCACTTCTATGTCTATCTATTGACTGATTTTTCTGTTGGTGGTGGTTCCATAAGATACAATACCATATTTTTACATTTCCTTTTATATGTTTAGATATGTTTAGATACATAAATATTAATACTTACCATTATGTTACAAGTGCCTATAGTATTCAGTACAGTAACATACTATATAGTTTTGTAGCCTAGGAACAATAGGCTATGCCATATAGCCTAGGTGTGCAGTAAGCTATACCATCTAGATTTGGTAAGCATACTCTATGACGTTCACACAGTGATGCATTCACACTATTCACGTTCACACCGATGATGCATTTCTTTGAACATATCCCCATCAATAAGTGATGCATGACTGTATTTATCAGTAGAATCAAGAGAACACCTATGCATATGTTTGGAGCTCCTTTTCCATTCATCTCTCTCCTCTCTGGTATTCTGCCCACCAAGTCCAGCCACCTCAGCCTTCCTTAACTCTAATCTCTGTCTCCTCAATTTAGCAAAACTGCTGAGCTCTCATTTTGATCACCTCTCTGCTCTGTAGTCTGGAAAGTGACTCCAGGCAGACAGCTGAGGCAATCATAGGAGGCACCTTATTCATCTCTCTTCTCTCAGGGACCATAGTCCTGCACTGGCTATTGTACACTTTCCAAAAACAGTTGTTTCATTAACTTTGTCCAGTTTTCTAATAGTTTACAGCAGGAGGGTAAGTACAGTACTGGTTATCCCATCCAGGCTATAAAAGCAGAAGTTGATATCATTCAGTTTTAAAATCAACAATTTTATAACAGTCCTTATTTTGGGCATACAGGGCAAAGAAAGAGATTGACTACCAGGAACTGATGTTTCTTTTGACTGGAGGAGTAAGTCTTAAGAGTGCTGAGAAAAATCCTGATCCAAGTTGGCTGCAAGATAAAAGCTGGGAGGAAATTTGTCGTGCAAGTGAATTTCCTGCCTTTAAAGAACTCAGGTAATTGTTCAAATTTGATGATTTAGCATTGAATAGTGATGGGTAAATTTATTCTGTAATCTAGTGTTTTTTTAAATGGTTCTATAGTTGTCTTATTTCTTCCCCTTGTTCAACAATCTCTTTTTAAATTTTTCACAATGAAAAGAATAACTATTAAACCCTTTTCCATTAGGACGCATTTTCGTGAACATATATCTGAATGGCAGGAAATCTATAACAGTAAAGAGCCACACAATGCTAAATTTCCAGTACCAATGGACAGGCTAAATGAACTACAGAAAATAATAATTCTTCGGTGCTTAAGACCTGATAAGGTAAAAGACGAATGTGTTCTATTTGAAACCAAGATAATGTGCGCTTTATGAAGTATCAGTTTTAAAGTTACTGTCATTTGGTTCTTTAACTGTCATTTTAGATACTCAAAGGGGTTGATTAG